ATATGAAGGGGCTTTGAGGTCATGTGTGAATGTGAATGCTGCATGGACAGCATGAAATAAAAAGATGAGAAGCAGCCCCCAAGCAGAAGTGTATATTCCTTATTTTTAAAACAGAAGTAAGAGCAGATAACTGTATTGTGAATACTGTGGTCTTTGAATGTAATTTAAATTGAAGGAAATTATGCAGAAGTGGTAGAGATAACAGCAACAGGTGTTGTGAACTTTGGAGAATGGAAAATTAATTAGGCTGGTAACTGCTGACCTTTGAATTTACCTGCTGTAGTTTGAGAGCCTAAAGATAAGTTAGCAGTTAAGTGAAACTGATTGTCAGAACAATCTGTTTATGGCCTGTTTTGCTTGATTTCCTTAGTTGGCAATTCCTCTCAGCCCAGTGCCTCTGAATCCAGTAAATCTGCAGGCTGGACATACTACATCATTAAATGTACCATCACCACCAGGTAATAAATACTTTGCAGACCACCTAACTTTCATGGAGATCTATATTTCTTGTTAGAACTAAAGAGCTTTACATAATAGCTGTTAAAAGTCTAGGAGCAGCAGCAAGCACTGACAAAATGACTTAGACTGGCTGTTCCTTTTAGCATTTAAAGCAACTAGATAGTGGTGAGATAATCTGCTACTTTCAGGAAGACACAAAAAAGTAACAGGTAGTGAGCAATGCCTTTCAATTACCTTTCAATCTGGATTTATCTGCCTGTCTTTACTCTTCAGCCACATCAAAGAACACGTCACAGTCACCTCATTACTATGAGATAATGGAATTTGATCCTCTGGCTCCCACTGAGTAAGTAACTTTTAAAATAGATAATACGCAGTTTTCTTAGGTGCCAAAGGCAAGAAGGCTTCTGAGATGGCTTTTTCTGAGTGAGAAAACAGACCACACTATTCAGACTGAGTTAGCTGACCAAGTGGATCACTAATGTAAATGAGAGTGGCTGCATTTTGTACATTTTCTTCCAGTATTTCTGACATAACCAATTGAGGAATAATCCCCTAACTGAACAGGATCTGTACAAATGGTGGAGTGATGCTGTGTCAACAAGGATCTACTAAAATCTTGTTCAGTGACACAGAAACATGACAAAAATATGGTAAGGGTCCTGGTGGAGGAAGCTGATAGACACAACACAGGTAGTTCTGGAGCAAGGTAACCAAATTCCTCTCAACAGCAATTGTGATTTTAAAGCACGTTCTTCTGCCTATCAAGAAAATCCTCATTTTAAATATAAGCTACAAAAGGGAATGGATGTATGGACTCTCCAGGGGACAAACAGTCAGACAGAACACTAATACAAAACTGAACAGATGGTAGAACTCTACTAGTAAATTGCAAAAAAAAATAAATCTGAGGCATCTAACAGAACTTACTTCTGAGGAACCATCAAATTCTGAGGTGGAAAAATCTCAGTAACGCTTTATTTATTTATTTTAACTAGTACAGGAATTCCATGCCACGTGTTGTGCTGGCCACTCACATTTTGCAGTCCTGTTCCCAAACTTACTGCATCAAGTGGCCTGCCCAGAGGTGTATCATGAAGAGCATCACCACAGGTGCACCTCAGGAAGGGCTCTTTGTTTCCAGGGAAACCTGGGCATCTTGCAGCTAATGCTGTTCCTTTAGGCAAACACCATGAACTGGCTGTTTGTACATTGTCTGTTTTATCAAAATATAACAGCCGTGATGCAGTTGCCCTGTTCCTCCCCTTTCAGTGCTATTTATGAAGAAATTGATGTTGTGCTGAAGTCAGAAGTTACCAAGAGTACAGACTGCTGAAGTGAGTAACAAGTGAAGACAAGTGAATAACAGAACAGGTTTTGAATTTGGACACAACAAATAAGGAGTGGAATACTAAGCTGTGTGGAAGTCGGAGTTACCTGGATCTGCACCTTGATAATTTGTTCTAAACATTCAGCTGTGTATTCTTCCAGGTGACTTGCATGATTATTTCTTAAGTATTTTTGAGGCCTTTAACATATGGTTTCCAGTATGAAGCAACACTTGACAGCTGGCATAAGTGGAAAAAAAAAAAAGATTCTTGCAAAAGCTTTTCTTCCAAGTTAACTGTTCTCTTGTATTGCTTTACTGCTTTATGCAGCAAACAAAATAGGATGTTATGTTTACAGAAACGACAGAATCCAATTTCTCTTTTGGTCTTGTTGGAGTCTGTTAATCTCCCTAGAAATTTGTAAGGCGGTTTTGATGCGTAAGACTTATCTAATACTGGGCCATTTCATAGATGTCTGAGGACACACACAGTGTCACTTTCTGACAGTCATATTCTGAAAATAGATTTTTGTTTTCTTCCTGAAAGCCTGCTATGTAGTTGGATTTTTGTCTTGGAAAGTACCTGAGCCGGGCCATGAGGTGCTGTCATCCCTGATTAACAGAAGAGAAAAAACTCTGCTTGTTCCTGTGTTGTTGCTTTTATTTAGTCAGTAAATATTGGAGGGGGATCAATCATTTCTTTCCATGTTCCTGCCCTGCAGAGATTGCTGTTCTGGTGAAGGAAAAAAAAAAGATCATCTACAATGCAGATGAGCAATAGTTATCCATTTATTTTAGTCAAGTTATTTAACCCTGTTCATAACAGTTTTAATATGGAAGTGCCTTACCTATTTTAATGCTGAATGTAAAATGTGCACTTTAGTAAGTATTGTTTTCTGAACTTACATAAAATGTGAGAACCTGGTTCATGTTTATAGCTGGTAAGCTATTTTTTTGGTGAAATACTGCATTTTAAATGCTTCTCGTGTTAACTCTAAGTGATAAGTTCTCAGTTATGCAATTTTTGTAGCATAAAATTCCAAATAAAAGCAAATCCTTACTGAGAAGTTAACCTCCATCACTTGAGTTTTTTATCAGATGGCACGTGTACTCTGGGAAATGCCAAATGCAGGTAATAATGGGAATGTGAATTTAGGAATTTTGAAAGGAATTTACAAGTATTTTAGGTGCTTCATTACATGGTTAGCCATCCTGCAGCTGCTGTAGGGCCAGTGGAACACCTTACTGCTATCAAAAAGACAACCTTGAAGAAGTTGTTGGGTTTTTGCAAGCAGAAGTGAAAAGGTAAGCTGCTTTCTTGTTGTTTTTCTTGTATTATTTGCAATGGTCTGGACAACAGCCTGAGAAAACAGCTGAAAATAGGATTTGAGGTGGCTGGGTTTTTTGCTGCAATCTTAGTTGTGTTGTTACAACTGGAGCTGGTTGGAATGTAACACATGACAAGAGGCCATTTCAATATGGAAATCCATAATGGGGGATAACTCCACTTTTCTATATATAAACAAGCAAAATGGTCACAAATAAATGATGCTCTGAAGGGAACTGGCTAATTACTGAGACTACAGGCCTTGTTTTATAGTTGGCATATGCAAACTGTGCAAACCTGAGCTTTTAACTTGAGGGAAACCCCACATTTATGAAACTGGCACTTTATTGCTCTGAATCCTGTGGCCAGAAAAAAGCAACGTGTGGAAAACTCCCACGATCAGTTCAGCTTTCAAAGACAATGGGCTAAAGACATCCCAGGTAAGATTTTATTTTTCTTCCTAGCCTGGATTCTACGAGTTGTCTTAATTTTTTTCTTTTCTGAGGCATAACTGGCCTTACAAAGCTTGCTGCCATCTTCATATAGATGTATTTCACTTGTGTGGGCTCCACAAGTTCTATTAGATAAAGTGCATTAGAGAGATGAAAAAGTGACAAGTTTTATAAGAAATACACAGTGAAGACCTGACATGAATGTCATCCAGAATCTACTGAAACACATGTAATTGGCATAAGGCATTTTAAAGGTAGCATCCATTTATTTTAAAAAAAACAAACAAACAACCAAATGTAATTGAGACTAAAGTAACTGGAGGTTATTTCTGATATGCCCATTACTTTTTTAGCAGTCTTTGTTAGATCTCATCTGCTGAAAGGGATAGAAAGAACTGGCCTGGCAGCTGAGATACTGGGCTGATAGGAACTCCTGTCTGAAAATGAGCAGGGCGCTTAAACTTGCTCTGCAACTCACTCCTCATTTGCAAAGCTGTGATAAAGTGTTATTATCCCTACCCCACAGATAATGACCAAACAAGCACACCTAGGAGCAGCTCTGAGCAACTGCCATGATGCTGGGGAGGCTGTGTCAGGCTTAACCTGGGAATGGGGTAGATTTCCCTTTGGTTTCGGAGGAGGCTCCTTTGCTGTTAGCTCAGCCTGCAGCTCAGAGCATTCCATGAGGAAGCTGAGCTTGCCTCTGTGTAGGGTGCCTGCTGTGCAGCCTTCTCTGCAGTCATAAGCAGTACAAGTCTATGAAATGAGTTTGAAGATAAGGCATTTCCAAAGGGCAACCATACCACAGATCTGACATGCTTACATTTAAATTACTGTTCCTCATTAAAACGCTAACAGTTTTAGAGCAGTCTGCTCTTACCAAATGAACTACTGATTCAGTAATAACTGGAGAGGGTGCATCATCTTCTGAATCATCATCATATCCTCCTATGCCATGGGAGGGTTACAAAGCAATCTCAAACTTTGAGATTTCATTAACTGTTTACCTTTCTATACATTAACTAACATGGAAATTACTCTTCAGAGTCAGCAATGCGATTTTAGATGCTTAAAAAATTGACTTGTTTCTGTATTTAAGTGAAGATCTCAATTTACACTTGGCTTTAAAAATCCACCTTACAGTATTCAGGCAAGATGTATCATCTCATAAAAAGATGGCTTGAGAAAACCCTCTCTCTTCCAGGAACAATGTGTTTCCCTTCTATTTCTGATGAAGAAATCCCATCCCTAATAAATAAGATTCCAACTACATAAGAGTTTATTTAAAAAAATAGAAATACATCCTTTCATAATAGGAGCAACTGCCCATGGTGGTTTAACAATATAATTTCATATTGCACAGCACCCCTGCAGACCTTCCCTCCGTTTAACTGGTAGTCAGGTAGCAGAAGTCAAATGGTGTAGGGATTACCCATTACTGATACCCAGGAAGTGGTAACTTCAGTCCTTCCTTTGCTTCAAAAAAAGTGTAAGAGAGGGTGATCAAATCAACTTTAGCCATTTTAGGGTCCTCTGCAAATTCTGGATCAATGTAGAAAAAGACAGGCATGTCCACTTCTTCTTGAGGATTCAGCCGCTGTTCTTCAAAACAAAAACACTGCACAGGGGAGGAAACAAACCAAACAGACGTTAAATAACTGTGGAAGACTTTCTCTCTGCCAAGACAGAGAAAGCTGAACATTGTAAAATGAATTCCCATTCTCTGTACATCCCTAAAATCCTGGGAAGGCTCAACCATATGATGAACAAGACAGCAATTCTATTCCTCTTGTGTTACAGGAAGAAAATCAGCTTTTAATTAAGCATCCAAACATGCCAATCTTCCAGGCTTGCTCACATTGTTAGCCCTGCCTTCCAAGGCAGGGGCACTAAATATCATACATTTGGGAGCCCCTCAAATTGGACCTACACTGCAGCTTGCCATGAAGACAGGTCAAGAAGGAACTGATGCACTGCCACTTGAAAAAATCTAGGTATTATCTTAAAATGTTGGCATACAAAGAATGGTATCCAGGATTAAAATGAAAAAAAGTTAATTTATGAATTAGGAAATGTAATCTTTGTTTTGTTCACACTTACTTGTATTTTATTGAAATACTGTCCTGCTTCAAAGGGTATCACATTGTAGGTAGAGATTCCAATTACTGGTTTGTCTGTAGGATTTTTTGCTTTATAAAATGCCAGTGCTGTTTCTCCTGGTACCACCTGTATAAAGTAATTGCACAGTGATATTTATTTACTTTAATCCACTGCACCCTCCACATCTCAGAGTTCTTCAGACTTGAGCTAGAATTAGTTAATTATCCCTTTTGCTGTGTCAAGGGGGTTGATTCACAAATATTTAAACTTTTACAAAGAGCATCAACAGTGTTACAGGTGTGCATTTTAAATCTTGCCCAGTTTGTCACTGAGGCTTGTATTATTCTTGGCAGTTTAGCAGCAACACACAGCTTTTTAAACATGCAGAATTATATGTGATATACACTGAATTTTTGAGGTTATAACTCCTTCAGTGCTGGCCTTGGAAATCAATGAAGCTGCATGACTCCTTTTGAGAATGTTTGTTAAGAACAAACTGTAAACACGAAATCAAAACGTTCATTTTCTAAAAATTAAAAACCTAGAAAGATAGGGCAGGAAGCAAAAGAAACCCTGCAGGTTTAGATATACAGCTACACCACATAGACTGGATATACACACACTATGGTCTGTCTACCATAAACTGTATATATTTATTATTTAACAGCAACCCTTTCTTTGGAAACTGGAGTGGCTGGCAGGGGTGCAGCCCTGCCTTCACTACAGCACACAAGGAAACAGAAGTTCTGCCCTGTGGCAGGAGGAGACACCAGCTCTTCCTTCCCAAGCACTGGGAAGTGTCAGCGCTGCAGGAACCCCCTGCATTCACACGCCCCGTCCTGTGTTGGCGCAGCAGCGGCTCCGCTGCATCACAAAACCGGCCTCTGCCTCCGCTCTGCGCGCGACTGGCCCGAGGCGCGGGGGGGGGGAACCGAGTCACTCACGTAGATCTCGCTCTGCTGAGGTCTGAAGTTCCACTGGATGCTGGAATGCACGTCGGCGTTGAAGGTGACCCTGACGAGCCGCTCCCGCACCGGCTCCATGCTCGCGATCTCCGCGCCGCGCCCGGCGCCCGCGGTGCCGCCCAGGCCCGTGGCCTGTCAGGAGGGAAGGGCGGTGAGTGCCCGCGGCCCGCGCCCCGCCCGGACCCCGGCCCGCCCCCCGGTACCTGGGAGTACCGGCGGGGGGCGGGGGCCGCCGCGGGC